AGCATTGTAAGCAAAGATGGATAGAGATTGACCAGTTGCAGTCCTAAACATTAATGGAAAGATTCAAACAATCAATACCAAGTGAATTTACACTTTACCTCATTGCACAAGCAAGTGACTATTAGAACTCAGTAGCTGAGTGCATAAGGCGATGGCATTTGAAGCGAACGGCATTGGGTTCGAGTCACAGAGTGAACATCAACTTCGAGATACAGGTGCATCCATGTGACGAGTCCCAGATAGGACGAAACGCGCGTCAAACTGGATTCCACTACCAGTCACTACCCATCTTTGCTCACAAAGCTAATAATAATAACTGAAACCAATCTTTCAGAGTGTAACATTCTTTGTTTCGAATACTTGTATTTATTATGAAGTAGCTTCAATAATAGACGTTAAATATTAGTGAATACGTGTCCGTTGACTTAATTTTAACCAATCAAACACCTTCTGAATGTAAACTGAACTTGTCAAGCTATGTAAGTTCAATATTATCATCAAAACGCTAGTCCTAAATTCTCGACTTGGATAAATACTTTTTTTTTTCTGCTTAACATATCGTTATTTTGGGGTGTTAAGCAATTGAAGGTAATCAGTTAGAAACCCTATTTGAATTAAGTTTTGCACAAATTGCCACTCGTCACTATAACATACCTGTAACTTTGAGGAAGCTAATGCTTGTTGTACGATTTGAACCAGTATCACCCAGTTTCACAGCTTGATAAGCTACCAGTGAATCATTAGTGCCCCAACTAATATTCTTTTAAGATAGACAGTAAGAGCGTCCGAAAAAAGCTTTTTTGGAAAAAATATGGTTTTTTATAGATTTCTAAATACTACTTATTTTCGCACACATCAGCATATTCTACGTCGTTATTTATTTATTTATCTATGTGAACACATAAATATTAGTACAAAGGAGTACCGAAAGCATATGCACCACTTAAGTCACTTGATTTGTGTGTGGGCTACAATGCTATCCAGGTACCCAAACCGAAGCAGGTGGTTTACTTAGAGTGCGAAATTCAGGACCTTCAATCTAAAGGTCTAATTCAAAAGGCAATGGAGCGACGTGAGGAGATGTGGTCCCATTGTAGACGGTGATCAACAGTTGATTCATACACCATTTGTTGCATCAGTATACTGCAGTCCATGGGTATCATTGGTTTGGAATCAGGGTTTTATAACTCCCATAAATCGATCCTCCGTAACCACCAACTTGATTAAGGTGCCGGACATTCACTTCTCACCCTCTCAATTTCGTAAACAGTAATGTGGTGAGTATGTATTAAGTATGGCTTCCCTGTTTGTGGTTGTGTATGCGTGGTCATATGAAAACATTTGAAGATAGAGAGAGAGAGCGAAGAGTCCTCACCCTTGACCGTACCAGGGCATTTGGAAGGCATACATACTACATACTACTAAATACATATCCGTTTGAACAGAGATTAGAAACCCAAATGACAAATGATTTCAAGTTTAAAAGATATTCAATATACTACTGAAATGTAAAATGATACAAAAATTTAAACAAACCAAAAAAATCTGAATTCATTATCTGACTCTCTCTTTCCCTCAGTATCTAATTATTATGCCTTAGAAAGGAAGATATAATTTATGTATATTTTAATACTTATAATTAGTAGTAATGTGGTGTGGTCTACTTATATCCATATAAGTAGTATATGGTGCTGGTCAGACATAGAATGTATTTTGGCAGAAGATCGATGAGGAAAGAACTAAAACGAAGTGCAATCGGTAGGAAAATGCATGAACAATGGAATTAGAGAAGAAACACTGAAGATCGAGACAATTGATAGTTATTTTGCAAATGAACTGTTTACTGTATGGTCATCAGAATTTAGTGAGATAGTCTGTAATTCTTGCTTAAATACATTCGATTATCCCCAGTTGTGTTCTGCTCACTATAGTAATTATTGTCGATAATTTGGTTGGTGAAGATGTTTATTTTGCATGCTTATTGAAACAAAGAATAAACGTTTACTGTTTTGTTTTTTGCCTTTTGAATGGGGTTTTAGTAAAGGGATCATTAGCCGAACAACTATTGGAATATGTATATATACATAGATATTTGACTAATTATGATTTTAAGTAAAATAAACGTTAATGAAAGTAAGTTTTTGTCTCTTTTAAATGTCGTTTTAAAGCAAAGTAAAGTGATTTGGCCAACAAAAACAATTTGTACGACTTATAGTTTGTTTAGAATTTCATTAAGATTTATATAACTTCAATAGTGTTTACATGGCAATAAATAATATCAGAAGGGGTTTTGTGGAATTTGTTGAATTCATGAGTCAGCTGAAGCTAGATCACTATGGAAAACCTGGAAGGAATGAACGGTCGTTTTGTTCTATTGTGGAACTGCACAGCAGTGCGCATCCATGATCCCGCACCCGCAAGATTCGAACCCAGGACCTATGGATCTTGAGTGCGAGCGTAGGATCGTGAATGTTCACTGTTTAGGATTCTGACAATAGGACGAAACGATCGTCTAGTGCTTCCAGGTTTTCCATGGTGGTCTAGCTTCAATTGACTCATGAATTCAACTATAAATAATATTTTGAACATGTCAATTGTCAATTTATTGATAAACTCAAACAAATGTATTTAGTTGAATATGATAATATAATAAAACAAACAATGTACTAATCAATCATTGGATAGATATTATATATATTTACGTTTGCTACTTGATTAACGTAGAATATGATATAACTAACGGCGCTTAAATGTTTAGAACTCTACAGTCACAAATTAGAAGAAAAGTGATTGTTGAGTAAGGATCCAAAACGTACAGAAGATCATGAGTATTTATAGATATTGGAGTTAGCTATAACATCATTATAATTCAGCTGATCCGCAATGAAGGACTTTATGCTAACGTCTAATGATAGCATGTCACTTTAATGTTCGAGAAAGCACCATCTGGTTCTCATTGTGTGGAAAGGTTTCGTCTCTTTTACCGCCCACGGAGGCCCCATCGTGCTTTGCAAAAGCTTTTTTAACAAATATACACAAGAAATATTCTATATTCATCAAATAAAAGAGATTCATTTGGGTTCTCTTTATTCATTGGTAGTATTTTTCACTAAGTACAATACGGACTAGATTCACTTGGTATTGTTTATTTGAATCTTTCCATTGATGTTTACAACTGCAATTAATCAAATTCTTATTGATAAATGCGCATACTGTGCGTATTGCCTCGATATTACCTTAATTCACAAGCATTGTAAGCAAAGATGAATGGTGGCTAGCAGCAGCATCCAGGACGTATGTTTCGTCCTACTTGGAACTATTCAGCTGGATGTACTTGCATCTCAGAATCGTGAAGTGAACATCAACTCCAAGATTCAGGTACATCCAGCTGACGAGTCCCGAATAGGACGAAACGTACGTCCTGGATTCCACTGCTAGCCACCATCCATCTTTGCTTATAAATATAGATTGTTAAGTAAATTTAATTATATGGTTACATTTTTGTTTTTTTTTCTACTTACAAACTATATGCACTATAGAATATTGATGACAAATAAATTAATATTCACTTAGTATTGTTTGTTTGGATCTTCCCATCGATGTGTTTAGGACTGCAACTGGTCAGTCTCTAATTGGCATATGTGCATACTGTGCGTATTGCCTCGATATACCTTAATTCACAAGCATGGTAAGCAGAGATGGATAGTGGCTAGCAGTGGAATCCAGGACGCGCGTTTCGTCCTATTTGGGACTCGTCAGCTGGATGTACCTGCATCTCAGAGTTGATGTTCACTCTGGGACTCGAACCCAGCACCCTCGCTTCAAACGCCATCGCGTTATCCACTCGGCCACTGAGTCCTGATAGCCACTTGCTTGTGCGATGGGGTGAAGTTTGAATTCACTTAGTATTGTTTGTTTGGATCTTCCCATCGATGTGTTTAGGACTGCAACTGGTCAGTCTCTAATTGGCATATGTGCATACTGTGCGTATTGCCTCGATATACCTTAATTCACAAGCATGGTAAGCAGAGATGAATAGAGACTGACCAGTTGCAGTCCTAAACACATCGATGGGAAGATCCAAACAAACAATACTAAGTGAATTCAAACTTCACCCCATCGCACAAGCAAGTGGCTATCAGGACTCAGTGGCCGAGTGGATAACGCGATGGCGTTTGAAGCGAGGGTGCTGGGTTCGAGTCCCAGAGTGAACATCAACTCTGAGATGCAGGTACATCCAGCTGACGAGTCCCAAATAGGACGAAACGCGCGTCCTGGATTCCACTGCTAAATAAATTAATAGTTATTAATGAATTAATAGTTCTATAATCACTGGTAGGTCCTGGATTCGAATCTCTTGAGGCGGGATCGTGGACACGCACTGCTGAGGAGTCCCATAATAGGACGAGTTGGCCGTCCAGTGTTTTCAGGTTTTCCCTGGTAGTCTAGCTTCAATTGACTCATGATTTCAACTATGAAAATATTGTTAAATTGTCTATTTTCTTATTTCAGGTTAATATTCTGTATGCAATGAATTCATGTGATGAATATCCAGCGGGCTGCAGGTTCAAATTTTCACTTCATTTATTCTAATTTTACTATATGTTATAACTAGTTCTCATGTACATACTGTGCGGATTGCCTCGATATTGTCTTAAGCAACAAGCTTTGTAAGCAACGGTAGGTGGTGGCTAGCAGTGGGCTCCAGGATGTACGTTTCGTCCTAATTGAGACTCGTTAGCTGGTTGTACTTACATCTCAGAGTTTTGAAATGAACGAACATTAACTTCAAGATGCAGGTACATCCAGTTGATGAGTCACAAATAGGACGAAACGCACATCCTGGATACAAACTATACACACTATGGAATATTAATGACAAGTAAACTAATCCTTCTACAATTACCTATTGTTAAATTGTCTATTTTCTTTATTTCAGATTAATATTTTGTATTCAATGAGTTCATGGGATGAGTATCCAATGTTCCATTTCTTATCTAATGAGATTACTATTATCTAAAATGTATAAAATTATTTTAATAACATTCTACATTACTATCAATATTAATCCCTTATTTTCATTGAATACTTCCAATACCAAAGAGACTATTCATTTCAGCAAACCAGTTATTATTGAATCACCAACTGATCTTATTACTAATGAGAATATATTAGAATTTACATGTAAAGCTGAAGCTAATCCAAAACCTTTGATTATCTGGTATAATGCAACTACAAATCAACCTCTTGAAGATAAATTACAAACTAGTGGTTATCAAACAAGTATACATGTAAATAAACACTTAGGTAAACTAATGATCTCTAATCCAGTACCAGGAAAATCTTATTCTATTTACTGTAATGCATCGAATTCAATTGGTTGGGTAACAACTAATCCACCAGTGATTGGAGCGGTTATATATTTAAACTTTGAATTTAATTTAAATCCATCGGATACTGAAGCTAATGAAGGAACTAGTGTAACACTTGAATGTCTACCTCCAAAAGGTCTTCCTAAACCTAAAATTTCATGGATAAAAGATAATAAAACTGTGATAAGTCAGGATAAAGTACAGAATCTTCATGGTTTAGATTTTTCAAATCTTAGAATTATGCCAAATGGAAGCTTAAGGATACATCCAGCTAATATTAAAGATACAGGAAATTATATTTGTGTTGCAATGAATCCAATTGGACAAAGACTATCTCAGTCAGCATATTTACGTATAAACTCATTGCCTCATAAGCATATAACTCCAAAACATATTCGAGTGAGACAAGGTCAACAAGTAAAGTTGATATGTCCAACCAATAACGACAAGTCAATAGAATGGAGTCGTCAATCAAAACAACCTTTCACTATATCTGAAAGAATTCAACAAATTAAAGAAGCCTTAATCATTAATCGTGTAATTCATTCTGATTCTGACATTTACATTTGTACTACATTAAATGGTGAACAAGGAGAAATACATCTTACTGTTGAAACACCACCAATATTCTTAAAATCACCAATTGATTTAATATTAAATATTGGTGATAAAGCTAAATTTGTATGTGTGGCAAATGGTAATCCTAAACCTGGTATATACTGGGAATTACCAGATAAAACTCCAATTTTTCCAACGGATAATTCATCAACACAATCAATTAATAGACATATTGTTCATACTGATGGAACATTGGAAATCGATTCAGTTACATTGAAAGATGCTGGAAAATATCATTGTATTGCACATTCATCTATTGATATGATACAAACAAGTGCAGTTCTAAGAATAAGACGTAAAAAGAAGAATACAACCACCATGACAACAACAACAAATTTGGACCAACATCAAAATGTTAATCAATTCAAAACAGAACATAAACTTCCTTCTGTTAAACATTCAATCAAGTCAGTGAATTATGTACCACCATATATTGGTTTACCACCATCAAATAAAACCCAAGTAATTGGTGAATCTGTACTGATGGATTGTGAATTACCAAAATTAGTAAAGATTATTCATCCTAATAAATTTCAAGATTCTCATCATTATAATAATAATCTATTTAATATTCAAAGTACAGAAAATTGGCGGATCATTTGGAGACGATCATCTTTCGTATCTCACAACAACCTTCAACAACAACATCCGAAAGAAATCATTCATGGTGAAGATGATAGATTTATTATCTTTCAAAGTGGTAGCTTACAAATCACTGATCTTCAACTCAATGATTCTGGACTATATACATGTTCATTAAAAGATGATACAAATATCAAATATGAAGTAACGGTTACTTTAAATGTTCTATCAACTAAACTAAAAGAACAAATATCAGATTCTATAGAAGAATATCCACTTAACTCACCAACTAATCTTCAATTATTAAATCAAACAGAACAAAGTATTACTTTATCATGGATGATACCTCATATAAACAATTATAATCAATCATTATTATCGATTAATTATTGGATTGAAATTTATTCGCCTAATATCTCCAATCAAGGATGGTTTATCATTGAACGTAATTGGCCAATTAATATGATTACATTAAATAATCTTAATTATAATCAATTATATTATATTATAATACGTTGTAGATTATATAATGGACGTATAGGATGGGCAAGTTATCCATTTGGACCTATATTATTAATGAATAATAATAATAATAATAATAAAATCAATAACCAATTCAATAATCAATCAATAATCAATCAAAAATCAATAAAATTAATTAATATCCAATTAAATGTTTTATCATTTAATACAATACAAATTAGTTTTAATTTATATGAACAATTATATATATTATTAAAAATTAATGGTTATATAATATATTATCGTAGTGTAGAACATATGAAATGTTTACATACTACTTATAATCATTATAATAATAGTAATATAATTAATCATTATTGTAGTTTAAATCCTAAAAATTATAATCCATCTATTAGTTATTATGATATATATAAACGTTTAAAATTAATGAATCAACTTTATCAAGAAGAAGAACAAGAACAACAACAACAACAACAACAACAACAACAAGAACAGGATAATATCACCGATTCAATTAATTCATTGCATGGTATTATTTCTACGGTAACTATTGAAGAAAAAAATTTTTCTCAAAAAAATTATACAAATAATCAATTAAATCAATTAATTAATCATAAAGTTATTACATTATTAACTAAATTAAAATCATTTCATTGTTATGAAATTGGTATAAAAATTATATATAATCATATATTAATGAATTATATACATCATACTACTGATATATTTACTCATAAAATATTAACTTATGAAACAAATCCATTATCACCACCTAGAAATATTTATATTACATGGTTATATAATAATCATATAGAAATAAGTTGGATACCACCATTAGTATCCGATTGGAATGGTATATTACTTGGTTATATTATATATATACATAATGAATTATTAAATATATATCATAGTATTAATGTTAGTTCAGATAGTAGAAAATTTATAATTAATTTAAATAAATTACCAAAATTAATAAATATACAATTAGCTGCATATACATGTATTGGTATTGGAATTAAAAGTGAATTAATTAAAATTAATTTTAATCATTTAAATATTTCACAAATCAATAAAGAATCGACAACATTGACGACTGTCGAAAATGTTCGAATCTCAACAGATTCTATGATGATAAATTATTCAATGAAAAATTTGAAATTAATAAATCAACCATGGTTTATTGGTACAATGATAAGTAGTTTATTAGCATGGTGTATTTTATTTAGTATATGTTTATTATGTTGGATACGTCGTAATAAATTTTGTAAAAAACATCTTACATATAAAATAACACAACCAAACTTTCAATATCTTACTACTGTTGATAGTAAAGATTGTAAGAGTAAAACAAATAATATAGATACTAAATCTATTGGACAATGTAATAGTTATTCAAATCATCATCTCAACAATATATCTATGATGATAAGTAGTAGTTTAAGTGAACAAACATATGAAACTAAAATACATCCTAAAATTACATATTTACCAGTTAGACAATCATTAGATTATATTTCAAATGATAATTCAAATAGTTATGGTCTACAATATACAAAATATTCTGATGAATCTCATATGAAATTTTCATCTAAGATGGATCATTTCCGTACGGTGAATGATGGTATAAGAAGTCCTATCAATAATAATAATCATTCAGTTATACCACAATTGGTTCAAACATTTACTAAACAATTTATACCAAATTCATCAAAGGATATAACTTATTTAACTAGTGATATACATGATCCTATAAAGACAAATTCATCGCATTTTATCTCTGGATCACAAACAAGTTCAGAACCATTTGATTCAGCTATTTATTTAGAACAAATATCAAATAGACAACATTTTAATGATTCTTCAGGTTCTATATTAATACCATCAACTATAATGACTACTATAAATAGTAATATAAATGAACAAATTTATTCACCTATTGTAACACCATATGCAACAGTATCTATTATACAAAATCAAAATTGTAATTTAGGATTACAATCACCAAAGAAACAAACACATTTCAATAATCAGAACAATAATAATCACCATAGCAACAACAGTCATAATAATAATAATCATCATCATCATTTCAATGATAATACTTCACAGAATATGTATATAACATGTATGGATTTAACTAATTGTCAAAAAGCAATCAATATACCAAGTTCCTTATAACTAACTGAATATCTTCATTACAGTTGAATGTGATACTGCCGTTGATACTGCCGTTCTTGGACTTATTATAAGTCATACCATGTAATCTAAACTACTTATAATGCTTCTTCTTTTTCTCTCCATATTTTGTAGATTAAATCAAGGTTACTTATTATTCTCATGTTTATATTATACAAATTGAATGATAAAATTTGTTTAAATGGATTAAATTTTTTTAAAAAAAATTGGGTATAGATAAGATAATATAGTGTACTAAAGTGAATTAACTGGGTTAACTGTCCGGAAATACTCTGGTACAGTCAAGGATGGGGAGCGTTAGTTCTACGTCTCGAAATACTCTCACATGGCCACGCGTATATAGCCTCTACCAGAGAAGTCCTACTTACTGCCTTCTCGTGGCAGAGGTGTTGTTTACGAAATTGAGAAGACGAAAAGCGAATGTATGATGATTTAACCGGGTTGGTGGGCACAGAGGGTTCACCTAAGGGAAGTTGGAAAACCTTGATTCAAAACCAATCATTCTACATACTGCGTATGAATCAACTGTTGGTCACTGGTTTCCATGGAACTATATCTCCTTATCTTGCTTAACTAACTTTTGGATTCGACCTTTAAATCGAAGGTCCCGAGTGTAGCCTCTAAGTAAACCACCTGCTTCGGTCTGGGCACCTAGTAAGCATCACAGCTCACACAAATCAAGTGACTTATAAGGCGCATGTGTATTTGGTTCGCGATTGTACTAATATTTATGTGTTCAAATACAATAATACATATAAGATAAATCGGCTGAGCTGGACTGGACATAACATGTAAATTAAATGGCTATCGAAGGAAACGTCTTCTAGTTCTATAATTTAGTACGTATATTCAGAAATTAAGGTTGTTCTTTATATGAACGAAATAGTCAACTAATTTATTATGGTTTGGATATGCGTATCTTACTTACTTACTTACTTACTTTCGCCTGTTACTCCCAATGGAGCATAGGCCGCCGACCAGCTCTCTCCAACCCACTCTGTCCTGGACCTTCTTTTCTAGTTCTTTCCAGTTCTTGTTCATTCTTCTCATGTCTGTCTCTATTTCTCGGCGTAATGTGTTCTTTGGTCTTCCTCTTCTCCTTCGACCTTCAGGATTCCATGTGAGGGCTTGTCTTGTGACACAAATGGGTGATTTCCTCAAAGTGTGCCCAATCCACTTCCAGCGCTTCTTCCTGATTTCTTCCTCCGCTGGAATCTGGTTTGTTGTCTCCCACAGTAACTTGTTGCTGATAGTGTCTGGCCATCGGATCCGAAGTATCTTGCGTAGACAGCTGTTAATAAACACTTGTATCTTCTGGATAATGGCTTTCGTAGTTCTCCACGTCTCTGCCCCATACAGAAGAACTGTCTTGACATTTGTATTGAAAATTCTAACCTTGGTGTTGGTTGACAATTGTTTTGAGCTCCAGATGTTCTTCAGTTGTAAATATGCTGCTCTTGCTTTGCCGATCCGCGCCCTCACATCTGCATCTGATCCACCGTGTTCATCAATGATGCTGCCCAGATATGTAAAGGTTTCCACATCCTCCAAAGCTTCTCCGTCAAGTGTAATTTGATTGGTGCATATTGTGTTGTATCGGAGAGTCTTGCTTTTCCCTTTGTTTATATTGAGACCTACTGCTGCTGAGGCTGCTGCTACACTGGTCGTTTTCTCCTGTATTTGTTGTTGCGTTTGTGATAGAAGAGCCAGATCATCCGCGAAGTCTAAATCGTCAAGCTGCATCCTGCCTGTCCACTGTATCCCGTGCATTCCTCCAGATGTTGACGTCTTCATAATCCAGTCGATCACCAGGAGAAAGAGAAAGGGTGAGAGTAAGCAACCTTGCCTAACACCGGTCTTTACCTCGAACGAGTCGGTGAGTTGTCCTCCGTGGACGATTTGGCAGTTTAGTCCATCATAGGAGTTCCGTATGATATTGACTATCTTCTCAGGCACGCCGTAGTGTCGAAGAAGCCTCCATAGTGTCGTCCTGTCCACGCTATCAAATGCCTTCTCGTAGTCGATGAAGTTGATGTAGAGTGATGAATTCCATTCGATTGATTGTTCCACAATGATCCGCAGAGTTGCGATTTGATCTGTGCACGATCTATCCTTACGAAATCCAGCTTGTTGATCTCGAAGTTGGGCGTCCACGGAATCCTTCATCCTGTTTAACAATACTCGGTTGAAGACTTTTCCTGGTATTGAGAGAAGAGTGATGCCCCTGTAGTTGTCGCATTTGCTCAGATCACCTTTCTTTGGTATCTTGATCAGAAGTTCTTTTTTCCAGTCTGTTGGTACTTGTTCTTCGTCCCAAATCTTACTGAAGAGGATGTGGAGTATGCATATGCGTATCAGATAACTGAAATTGCAAAACAACCAATGTAACTACGATTTTTAACTTTCTATCAATCAGTTAAACAGAAATCAACCATATTGATAAGCAAAGATGGATAGTGGCTAGCAGGGAAATCCAGGACGCGCGTTTCGTCCTATTTGGGACTCGTCAACTGGATATACATCGATGGAAAGATTCAAACAAACAGTACTAAATGAATTTAAACTTCACCCCATTGCACAAGCAAGTGACTATGAGGACTCATTGGTCGAATGGATAACGTGATGGCGTTTGAAGAGAACGGTACTGGGTTGCAGTCCCACAGTGAACATCAACTCTAAGATGCAGGTACATCCATCTGACGAGTCCTAAATAGGACGAAAGGCGCGTCAAACTGGATTCCAATGCTAGTCACTATCCATCTTTGCTTACCATGTTTGTGAATTAAGGCTATATCGAGGAAATACGCACAGTATGCATATATGCCAATTAGAGACTGACCAGTTGCAGTCCTAACACATCGATGGGAAGATTCAAACAAACAGTACTAAATGAAATTAATCAACCATATTGTTTTTTCTATATGAATTCGTGAATTCTCTATTAGTAACAGTTGTTCCTTTATGCATTAGATAGTTGAAATGATACTTTAGCACCATTATTCTCGGTATACTGTCATGTGTTTTCTAAGCATTTCCGGAGAAAAAAAAATTTTCTCTCGTTATATCCGTCTAATCTTAGTTTTAAACTGTAAAGATGATTTTCTGAATAGATTGTAGAATATAGAGCATTTGTTATTTTCGGACAAAACAAGTTTCTATCCAATTTAGGGGATGGAAGTAGCTGCAGATCGATCATTGATTAATTTTTATGTATCAAATTCGTTTGGTAGCGGTGAGAAAAGTGATATTGAAAATATAATCTGAGAATAATCTTTGAAATTAATGACAGTAGCCTTTTTAATCAACAAGTCAGCATCAAATAATGAAATACATCAAAGAAAATGGACATGAATAAGCGATTGATAGTGTATATTACATCATCCAGAAGATACAGGTGTTTGTTAACAGTTGTCTACGCAAGATACTTTGGATCCATCGACCAGACACTATCAGCAACAATCTACTGTGAGAGAGAACAAACCAGATTCCAGCGGGGGAAGAAATGAGGAAGAAGCACTGGAAGTGGATTGGACACACATTGAGGAAATCATTCAACTACGTCACAAGGCAAGCAATCACATGGAATCCTCAAGGTCGAACGAGAAAAGGAAGACCAAAGAACACATTATGCTGAGAAATTGATACAGACATGAGAAGAATGAATAAAAATTGGATAGAACTAGAAAGGAAGGCCCAGGACGGGGTGGGTTTGAGGATGCTGGTATTGTACTTAAAATCTTATTAATTTGCATCAGTTCATAACTGTTTAAAATCTATTTCCGGTAATTTATTAGTTAGCTTCAAAAAGGTGAAAACTCCAATTTGTGGAAAATTTTAAAATCGTGAAATGACCAACGACATTTTCTTTAATAGTAATAGCAATCTTCTAATCTGAATTTAAAATTTAGTTCGTTTCTCGGTCAGTTTATAATAAAATACGTTCTTCTATGGATCACTGATAAGTGTCACTAAACCCTGAGCTGTATGAATTTAGAATCTTATTTATGAAATTTGTATGGACTAGCAGATATCAATCTCATGGAGCTATCATTTACTAGACTGAGTCACGTAGTTATGTAACTACCATTCCACTTTTTTCATCCATTCCCAATCCAGTTTGCACACTTCTGAAACAAGGTTACGAAACACGTTCAAATCCTAAGTTTCAGTGGTTCACGATAGTGACACCAAGTGGGTTGTCTTCACTATGCTCTGACATACCTTACCGGACCTATGGATTACATACATACCGTTGTCATTAGGTGTGGAAAATCCTTCAGAGACAAAGATGAACGAACACAGAAATGGTAAACTGACCTAGCTTTGATGGCCTAGGCTTTATAGATGTTGTATATATGAAATTTTATACCTAGACTAATGGTCTAGATTAGCATAAGCCAATCCAGATTTCAATATATGTAGATCGCTACTTTATTATTACTTAGGAGGCTAACCAGTTACAAAACATTTTGGATTGTTTTCTCTGTGGTAGATGATTGTGTCATATAAAATTCTCTAATGCTCAGATAACTTCAGATAGAGATATCTGGATCCTATTCTGACCGAATTAGATAAACTATAAGGTAAACACATCTTTGTTCTAATTACTATGCTCTGTACATGTGTGAATATTATTCAGCTGGCAGAGTACAAGTAATGAGTCAAAACACTAATTTAATATCCAGTTTAATCTCTTAGAGACAGAATAATTTACTTGGGGCAAGGTAACTATAATTACTGTCTGATGAAGTTATCGCATAAATGGTTAGTTGATGTATAACGTATAGAATACTACAACAAAAGGTAGCAAAACCTTATGTCTTTCGTTAGTAACGTAAAATCATCTGGAATCCAACACTGAAGACTTCATCTTGAAGAAAGTTCTTTATGAAAATGGACGAACCTTACAGAGCTATTAAATTTCTAGGCACAATAAGTAAATTACATAGATAGTAGCTAAGTAAATTCAAGCTTTGATACACTGTAGCTGTAAATAAATCCCCAAAATCAATAGCTCTGTAAGTGTTCAACATTGGATACTGATCACATTAGTTTTAGTGG